CACTTAGATATTCTAATTCATACACTTTTGTTAATATAAACAACCTTCATCCCCAATAAATAATTACAAAATCCCAAATTTTTGGCAAAGTAACAAGTATTAATAACAATTTAGCTAAAATTAGGCACTACAACAATCATATACTAAACAAACAACAATTTATTCTATGCTTTGGATGTAAACTTAAAAATCTAAAACTTAAAACAACTTATTGTTACTTTACAACCTTAATATAGCTAATTTTTAAAATACAAGTTAATTGTCACAAATAAATCTATGTAAACCTAAAGTGTTTATATTCTCAACAAAAAATTAACCAAATTAAACAAAAGCAAAAACTATAGCTAGTAACTAAAAATATCATACTAACTATAGATTTATTCAAGCCTTTGTGAGAGAACAAAAAGAATTATAGAAAATCTTCACAACAAACACTTTTTTAAAAAAAGTAGAACTTACATTATCAAATTACAAAAAAACAAACAAACATAATATACCATTTGCTTAACTTACATTTCTACATGAAAGCAAACTTGGCATTATACAAACTAAATATTTTCTTCTCTAACTTACACAATATTAATAATGCTAGTAATAATATTTACAGTAATAACTACAAAAACAAGTATTCAAATTTCAACAGACAACAATACAATTAAAAACAAAATTATAATAATACTTTTGACCCAATTTGAGCTAAGACAAAAACTCAAAAAAATCTACTTTAACAATATAATCAACTTTCTAAATATTATAGTAAATACAAAAAATTTATACATTTAAATTAACACAACAGAGGAAAAGATCAACATAAAAAATACAATTATATCAATTTTATATAGAATAAATCCCAAGCAAAATACTTAACAATACATTTACTTCATATATACTAAACACACCAACTATATATACAATCTATCAAATACTGAAATTCTACAACATGCTGAAGCAATTACAATATAGAACAATCAAAAATACATTAAATCATTACAAGCTATCTTTCAAACGTTAGCTGAAAACTTATATTTGCATATGTGAACTTTCAAAACAAACCACTAAGTCAAAACACTAATCCTAAAAAATCTTCACTAAAAATGTTTAAAGTTAAAATTTTTATTTCAAAACTTCTGACTCATCTAAATTTATATAATAGAAACCCAAAATCTCATACTAATCTATATTGTGCAAAATGTCTTAATATATCAGAAAATATTTACCACATGCTAACCTATTCTTACAATCAAGAAGAACTAAAAGAAATAATAAAAGAAGCAATTATTAAAATTTGTGAAGACAATTAGATTGAATTATTTATAGTATTTGACTTAGCTCAAGAAATTCAAGACATTCATATAAAACAAAAAATTCTGATAAGAATTATATCTGACAACTTAACTAATCTGAAACTCTTAAAAAAAAACCAAATCTGCTTCCAAATATATATTATCAAATCATAAAGATACATAAACATATATGAAAATCAAGTAGACAATACCTTTAATATCATTTCTTATTCTCGCAAACTCCTGAAAACATGGATGTCATATCTACAACTTCTATAGATAGACAATATATAATATGACTTAATAAATTTATACAATTTAACCAAATATCTCCTTTTACTAAACCCATAGACTAGAGGTCTCTTAACCATTCTAGCTAAGAATAGATTGAAGGTAAATTAGTCCTAACCTCTACTCCCTTAGTTTAATGTATCAATTTGTACTAATGTACTTAATTATATATTATCAAAATAAAGAACTAAAGGAAAGACCTCTCTTAAAAAAAAAAAAAAAAAAAAAAAAAAATAGTATCAAATATATAATTAATAAATACTAAATTTTTATGTCCATGCTAAGTTTTCATGCCTATGCCTATGCCTATACCAAAATTTGTGCCTGTGTTCATGCCTATGCCAATTTTTATACTAGTGTTCATGTCCATGCCCATGCCTGAATTTTTGTCAGGCATAATCATGAGCCCGGGTTGCAGACCCCTACTCTTATCTACAAATTCCCTTCCAAAAAAATGATTTTACAGTTTTATTAAGTATTTTAGTAGATAATTTACTAATTCTAATAGTTTTATTATTTATCAGGGTTTATTAATTGTCAGATGTTTTGTCAGGGGTTTCGTCAATCGTCATCACGAAAATAGTTTCGTCAGGCATCATTAATTCTGACCTGATTCTAATCCTAACTCTAATATTATACTTATTTAATTTATTCAAAATAAAATATATCAAATAAATGGGTACACTGTTTATATAAAAATAAAATAAAATTAAAATTAAATAAAAAATGAAAAATAAAATCTAGTTTTTTTGTAATCATCTAACATTATTATTTCCTATATTATAAAGAAACCTTTCTAAGTGCAATTTTGAATCCTGGTTCAAATATATACATGCAATCTCTTAAGTACAATTTCATCTTTATTCTCTGAATACATATTAACAAAGACCCGACCCACAAGTTGAATTTAAAGAAGTTTGTTTGTATAATTTTTTACCAAGAAATTATAACATCAAATCAAATAAAGGTTTCGTCACAATATAATGTGACCGCAATCAGAAAATGTGTGACAGGTTGATGACATAGCTCTCCTGATTTATGAAACAGATTTCAAGATTAGGTGCAACGTAACACGATTAAAAAGATTCAAAACAAACGTTAGTTCTAAACGATACTTAATCACCACCCTAATTAACTTCTCTGCCTTCATATTTCAAGATTATGCGTAACGTAAAAGAAGCGCAAAAAATATAAAAACAACAAAAAACGCTTGTAGCTTAAAATGTTTGCTTACGAAAATGCCTTCTTGCACTAAGAAAAATTTTACCTCAAGAAATTTTACAGTGACTATAGCCCTTTAAACCAAAACGAACTACTGGTGGGATCCTAACCCTAAACTAATTACGAAACAATTTTTTTAATAAAATCACATAATCGGCAAAATTTTTTATGGTGATGATGTTAAATTTATATAAGTTCTACCAAAATTCACCTATAACTGAAAAATAAGCATAAGAAACACCTTTTATGCTCTAACAAAAAGTTTTCATTAAACAATTTTACTATTGAAACCACTCACCTTTAACACTTAACCTTGATCCTAACCTTAACGTATCCGCCACCAACCTAGTCACGTCACTCTCAATATAACGGACTATTGATACAACGGAGACTAAGTAAAATCTTGATATAGTGGATCAAGATTCAAATCCACATCATAATAAATACTGCTTGATATAATGGATTTACTAATAAAACTCACGATAAAGCGGATTTTAAAAAATTCCTCACTATGTGCCCGAGGTACTACGTTATATCAAGAGTGACGTGTACTGCTATGAAAAATTTGAGCAATTTTTCTTTTGCCTGTATTTTCAAAATGTGCATTCTTATCTGTCTATCTGTAAAGCATTGAATCGGTAATATTAGCATAGGTACGGGTTTGAAACCCTTGCATATTAAGATGTATAAATAGGGCGCTTATCTAATAAATAAAGTAACTCTTTCTGCTTGATCTTAGGCATAAATAGTGGAAAATAACATACTCTACCCAAGTGATAAATACAGTGGTGACCGACCCGAACCTAAAGTAAACCAACTCAAACCGACCCAAACCCTGAGTGACCCGTGACTATTAATACGACATACAAGTGGCCGAACTTGAGCCTGTTGTGATACAAGTTGAACACGATCGACCCATTACCTAACACAAGTCGAGTCCTGCTACCTTGTTGATATTCGGGTCTAACCTACATTTATGTTTGTAGTACAGTGCTAAAATTAGGTGACGATTAAATAAAAGCTCTCCCAACTAAAACATCTGCTTCCAATGTGGCCTGAGGTCAGCACTCAAAAACGTAATCCAAGCCATGACTCGGGACTTTAAATGCGCATTGATCGACCAAAGCGAAAGCATTTGATAAAACTAATTCGGGTTTGGCTCAAGGCGATGCTCCATTGAAAACAATAGTAAGGCACCTCTGGTATTCAAATGGAGGTCATAGTCATGTAAATGTGTATGAATTGCTCATCGTTAATCATAGAATTCCCCTCCTGATAGTCTAACTAGTCGTATTGCTTGTAAAATCCTAATCGTAGTATCAAAGCTCAATGTAATCTGTAATGTATAAAACTCATAAAACTAGAAAAAAACAACGAATAAGTAGATAGATAAATGATAATCATCATAATAAAGATCATCTAACGTGGGGATCCTAAGCACAGTATGATTCTCTGTTCTCGACCAAGTCTTCAAACCTGCTCGAGTAGTCTTCATTTTTGATTGAGTTTTAAATGGACCATCTTTTACAGTTACTACGAACACCAAACTCAAATTTAACTATGCCTGTTTGTGTTACTAGATAGTGCACTCCATTGTTATTATTTGTGTTGTATTACATATCCGATCGATAATATTCTATGTTCCCAGGAGGCTCGAAAAGTTAATACGGTTACACAAAGAAATAAAAACAATAAATTGTTTCGAATTATTAAATTGTAAATAAATGGATTAGATTGTGATTAACTTATTATTATGCATTTTATATAGTCTTTTATATTTTTAGTAAAAACGTATCGAAACTATAATTTTGTGTGCCAAAATAAGTTTAATTGACTTCGAATAATACTCCACATATCACGTTTTCCTCTTTATCTATTATGTGAAACGCTTAAAAAACGCTTTTACATATCGTCATGAATTTATAAAAAAAGGATAGGCCTTTTTTTTTAATTTTTATCAGTGTTACGTAATAAAATAAAGCCACGGTGCGGTGGTATAAAAAGGATGTTTCCTCGTTGTATACCTATATCAGCTCAATTCTGAAAATCTTTTTGATAGATATTAAAAAGGATTAACCAAACTTTTTATAGTATATATTTGAATTTAAAGCTAATAATTTATTTACCACTGATATAATTAACTCGCTATTGTATATATTATTTTATTTAAATCCCAACAAAAATTTTTTATTTGAAATAATAAAAATGTTGAAACTTATCGGTAAAGAAGGTACTGATTTTAACGAAAATCTAAATTTGCTAGCTGCGGAGAAAAAATTGAAACGTTACAGTATGAGTACAAACGAGAAAATTATCAGATTGTGTCTAGAACTATTGACAGCATTTGTAGGCATTACACCATTAGTACTATTATATAACATTACACAAGGTGGTTTCTTTGATTTATTATATGGATTTCGGCAGGCTGATGGATTCATGCTCCAAATTTGGCAGTATGGATTGCTAGCAATGAGTACAATTTGCATATTGGCTGCAATGAGATCAATCCAAAGTATCAAAGAGACATATTTGCGATGGCGTGTTGCACATTCATTCAGGATAATTGAACTAGACGCGCATCTATCTAAATCGATAGGTCCGTCAAGTTTGAAACAAAGTAAAATAGCTTGGATTACTGCCATTATGATGGTTGTCATTGGTGGTGCTGTCACTGCTCTACATAATACTGCATTTACAATTCATAAAGGACAATTAATAACAGACACATTTGCACATACAAAGGTCAGTCCTGCAAGTGGAGGTTTGAGACTACTGTCTTCCCTTCAATTTCAGGTCAACTGCAGCTCATACAGAATAGGTACTCTAGTTCGGAAATTAAATACGTGTCCATTTGGATTGACCCCTGAAGGCATGATGGACTACTTGGCTAACAGTCAAGTAGCTAATGATACTGGCATGAGAGAATACGAAGGGATGGTTTTTTCGGATCAAAAGCCTGTACCTACTATAGTGGAGATCATGAATGGAACAATTAATGCCACTGCTACTTATTCAAATGTACCTTTATTCGATTATACCGTTGATTGTTCAATAGAATCTAATCAAACATTCGGGCAGAATGTAATTGAGATTCAGCCTGGAAAAGGAGAAAATGGCATTCCTGGCATATTCTATGTGATGGCCAATGATACGAAATTCCCCGATAAATTTGTATTCTATTCTGTTGCTGCATGGGAATCTAATAATGTAGTTGGTATGGCATCGTTTTCCTATGGAAATGGTACAGGTAAGATCGTTTTTCCGGCAATTGCCACAATTAGAAGTCAGCTAAATAGTACTGTATGCGATGTGAAATATACTCAACAACAAGGAGACGTATATATAGATTTTTCACGTAAAAATGCAACTGTGACAACTACTACACCTGTGATTCCTAACAAAGGACAACTAGAAATAGCTGATTATACAATCCTATCTTTACAACATTTGTCAATGGTTGTATCTCAACTTTATCGGAGTCCGTTTGACGAATATCTTGGCAATAATACTGATGGGAAGTTTTCAACAGAATTTCTTTCCATGCAAATTAAATCATTATTGCGAAAAGGCCATTATCTTATTAATACCGGATTTGGCACTACCGAACCCATTGAAGGCACACTTACCACCAATATTAATCAATTCAATGATATTAAGTTAATTAGATTAGTTTTATTTGTACAAGTATTGATTCATGTGATAGGTATCATTATTATATTACTTAGTTTTTATACACCTATTATAGCAGCTGAAGTCTATTCTGCTTCCACATGGTGGGCATTTGGATCTCATGCAGTAAATAAACCTGTAGATGGGTGTACTGGTATTATGTCTGAAGAAAATCGGAATAAAATATTAGCACTACGTGAAACAAGGGAAGGACATCTTCAAATGACTATTCCGACAGATGGAAACGTACCATCAGAAGAATGCAAATATGCAGGCTAGATAACTTTAATAAAAATTGAGTTTAGTTTAACTGATTAATAATAATAAGAGTTTAATTTATTTATAAATTCACATCATAATTGGTAAACAATTTATATATTTTATAATAAATTTTTTAACGAATATATTAAGGTTTTATTTTATGATAATGAAAGTAATATCAAAGATTATATAAAGAACTAATCGTAAAATTTTCATTTCGAAAATAAACGTCAATAAATTATTCAAGCAATGAAGATTTTAGACAGATATTGTAAATTGAATTTTTTTTTCAAACTTAAAGACAATAAGGTTACGCAAAGTTAATTTTCGTTTTGCATAACGTGGAATCTGAAAAATTGAATCGACAGGTTTATTTTTTCTGTCAGTCCTATCGGATAGTTTCGGGATCTATTGGAAAAAAATAAATATCAAAAATCGAATAATTGGCACAATTGGAACTAGGAATAGGAATCTGCTATATGATTTAGTCGACTAAACTGACTAAACATAGTTTACATATCGATATGAGTTTTTTAGTCAACTAAATATACTTGAAAAAAATGGTTTTTTGACCAGTTCAAACCGGTTAACAATAAACTATTAATTAATAATAAATAAACTAGAGATGTTATCCTGTTTAAACCGGTTATTTTGTGCTCAAAAACTTGTTAAACACTGTTTCAAAGCGCACACAATTAACTGAGTCTCAACCTCTATTTTTACAAATTTATTATTGATTATGCTTGTTAAATATATTGAACCAAATTATGTTATTTATTTATTAAATGAGATAGCTGCGCGACGCTGTCATGCAAAACCCGGTATTGTATTTAGTAAATATATATGTTGTTGCACTATTGGACATGTGATGTACGGTACGCAGATCCCCAAAGGACAAATAAATTTTTAGGATCATATATAACGTGACATGATTAGAAAGATTCAAAGCAAACGTTCGCTTTGTCAAAATTGGTTATTTTGTCAAAAATTTACCCAATAAAAATTTTTTTCCAAACGATTCATCATCTCGTTAATTCTAACTTAAATACAAATGTTAGTCTTTATAGAAATGAGTTTTAAAGAATTTTGCATTACTCGAATGTGTGCCAGCTTCTTGGCACAGCAACAATTCTTTAAAGCTTGTTTATGTTAGGGTTAGGATTAGATTTAGTAATTAAAAAGAAGTAGTTTATACAGTAAAATTGCTCAATGAAACCTTTTTTTTAGAGCACTAAAGGTGGTTACTTATACTGATTTTTGAGAAATAAGTAATTTTTGACAAAATGAAGCTTCGTTTTGAATTTTCTTTATCGTGTTAAGTTCCACCTAATCCTGATTCATAGTTCAAGTAATCTGCGCCATAAGCCGACACACATTCAAGACATGCAAGGATTTTGTTTATGTCACAAACCTGTCACACTTCTCATGCTGCAATAGCAAATATGTGCATTGCAGATTTAAATATAATTTCATTTCTTATAGGTTACTCGGCACGCCATCTTAGAGAAATTTGCGTGTCACCTATTATCCACTGTTCATACATTATCATATTGCTTTTTTATTATAGATAACCGTTTGTACAAATGTACCTTTTTATAAAATATGATTGTTTTAAGAACTCGGATTAAATACTCTGAATTACGATTACAAAAACGACTGCAGCATGAAATATACAATTAGAATCGTTTGTATGAGAATTATATTACCGTTACCAGTGTTGTCAATGGACAGCTTTGGACATGAGTTTGGACAAAGATAGAAATTAAAATTACTCTCAATTTTGTTATTCAGAATCTAAAAAATATATATACTTTTTAGACAAATTTATTAATTATTAGAGCTTGGACATGCTTTGGACATTCTTGGACACTTGGACGTTGGACATGACTAAAAAGTCTTGGACAGTAAAAATGTACAACACTGATCGTTACATATTTATAATAATAAATCAGCATTCATACTGTAATATTCATACTTGTGAAATCAAGACATAGCCTGCTACATATATAGAGAAGCCTCATATGTAATTAGGAAAAATCAAGTTGCATATAGACGGAAAAGCCCTATACACTCCGTTCCTAATACAAATATAGAAATTCCATGGTAAAATCACAGGATAGACTATCCTATTCGAGATTCAATTTCAAGGTATTAATAGTGCAAACCGTTATAACTGCCAAATCAAGTAAAAACAAAATCAAATAAATTAACAAAGATAGAATGTCCACACTGGCGTAAAAAGTATTACAGGCGTAAATAATTAAAACAACAAGTCTCATTTAACTAAATCAAGGAAAAACAAATCAGAAAGGACAACAAAGTCCAATTTAACCAAATGTAAGCATAAGAATGTATTAATAGTGTAAACCATTATAACAAGCACTTACTGATAAACGAAAACAAATAAGGATGGCTTAAAATGTAAATTTATGCAATACAGTTAGATCCATGAAAAACAGGTGAAAACAAGATGTAAATCATGCATATTAGCAAATTTAAAAGCCACGATAACAAATACGTAGTAATTTTTTTGAATGAATAGATGATCAAATAACGAAATTTAACATATCGATATTACAGAATAACCGTTCTCTACTCACGTAATGTGAATTTTGATTTCTTTTAGTAAACTAAACTTGTAGCGTGCAAATAAAGAAATCACGAGATGAAGTATCATTCAATCAGATGCAAATTAAATACATCATTTCACTCACCCGTGAAACATACTCTATGTACTTAGTACTCTGTTCCTGGTACAGTTAACCATACTATTTGTATTTCATACGTAAATATTTTTGTATAATTTGTAGAACAGTTCAACTTGATATACAAAATCTTTTATTTAATAAAATAAACTGTTATATTAGAACATCCCATTAATCCCAATCAAGAGAAAATAAATCAGATCAATAAACTGAAAAAAATCCAAATTAATATGAATAAATTTTAAAATAGAAAATTTGTATGACAAATAATTCAAAATCAAGAACAGCAAACAAAAACAAGTAAAAACAAGAATGATTTCATATACATAACAAATTTGAAAGCCATGATAACAAATTGATTATAAACATATAATTTGCATTTTTTTTATTGTATATGTCAATTAGAGTTATGAGAATAAACCAACCAATTATATGCAAAAGAAATATTCCACTTCACTTACCTGTTGTTAGACCCGAAACACGTGATCCACGAGTGATGTGGGATCTTCGCCGTATGACCCTAAGTCACGCTCTCTCTGCTATGTAGATCATATACCTTAAATGGGTGTACCGGCAGTATACGCTGTATTGGCTGTATACCATGTATCCTGTGCATCGGGTGAATAAAGGGTATCAGTGGGATCA